AAAGCAGCAGAACACCACGGTCTGTGAATTACTCTTTCTAACAGGAGTTGGCAAACCTTGGCTGCATCAAGCTTTCAGCAACCTTCCCATGGACACGAGGTGGGGGTCTCACTATTCTTGCAGTTTCAAAATCAAAAGCAGATCAATAGGACTGTTACTACACACTGACTTCAGCTACTCGGGAGCCGGGAGGAACCAACTACACACACTGTTCCCTTCTTGTACTATTCTGACCTCTGTGTAATACCATTTTATCCATAAAACATGGCAGTGCCTAATACTGGGAGATGCCAAAAGGTGGGAAAGGTGAATATACCTGTGAGTGCAGGAAATTCTTGAAAGTGGCACCTCATAAGCTATAAGACCATCATCTACCTGCTAGTGCTCAGTTTATGCCACCATCTTCTCTAGAGATTAGGGTTGTAAATACTTGCCTTAGTGAATGCAGCAGTGCTGTACATTTCTCACTGCCACTATTGGCAACATAGGAACTGAAGTCTCTGCATGGGGTCTGTAATGCCTCCTGAAATGCTGCAGGGCTCAGTCAGTGACTCCATACTCTCAATGCAAGTACCGCTCCCAGTAGGAGCCACAGTGCCATGGTCTCTCCAACAGCATCCTCCAACAACTTGCCCTGCAGAGAATACAGATGCCACCTGCTTCACAAGAAGTCCTGTCCCACCTCTGGGAGGAGAAGCCCTGTAAATGCCCACCGTTTACTAACCTGCATAAAGCCACATCCTTTCCAGAGAGGAAGGCATGGAAGTTTTGCTTTTAATTTATGCCTGAAGCCCAGAGATAAAACTAATAAAGAGAGTGCTCACCTCCAGCAGAGAGGCACATCTGCAGCGCTTGCTAGGAAGTGGTGGAAGTTGCTGGGAAGAGCACAGCATTAGGTCACCATCAAGCACAGGTGGGAGACACCACAGAAGCACAACGGTTTGTATCGGTGCACAACCCTCCTCCACCTCTAGTCAATGATACACATACCCACACCGGGCAGGCAGCCTACCCTCTGCCAGAAAAGGAGCTGCTGCCTCACTTTCTTTTCATGATCAAGTGAAATGCCCTAGATAAAAGTGCCACATTTCAGAAAGTTCATCACTGCCAAGGTCAACTTTGGCTGTCACCAAGAACCCTCAGCAGCAAAGAAAGAAAATGTCCAGGAGCTATGAAGGGAGAACAAACTGCTCTATCAGGCTCCAAGCCTTCCTGGCACCTAGTAAGCCACCCAGCCACTGACCACTGGGACTGGGGGCAGCTGCAGTTCAAACCAACAGCAGTCTCCAGCCACTTTCAGGAACGCCCACCTCAACTAACCACAAGGACAAGCTGAGTCCGAGGAACGTGGTCAGCCTCTTGGTAACACACGCCAAGCTCTGCCATCTCCCTTGTGGCCATGTCCCACTTCTTGTCCCTCCAGTGAGAGCAATGGCTCTTCAGTGCATTGGTGCATGCCTGGGTCTCACCAGTCAGGCCAGCAAGTCTTCAGGCACTGCTTCAGCGCTCTGGTGCCTATTCCAGCCAGTGGGCATGGACACACCATCAGGATGCTGAAGTGCAAAATTTAATTTGCTGCTTGCCTGTCCTGCCCCTCACAGCCCTCTGTTGCCACAGCCAGTGAGAGAAACAAAGAAAATGACTCCATCACAGGAACAACAACCACCATAAAAAAAAAAGTGGGGAAATGGGTGAGATGATGATGATACATGCAACCTCAGCCAGCTCTCTTTTGGGCTAGAGAAAAGGCACCCTTTGGCACTAGATGGGGACAGACGAGGCCGGACCTCCTCTCATGCAGGCACATGGCAGAGAGGCAGCTGTAGTTAATAGCTTTGTCCCTGGGGCCAAGAGCAAGGAAGAAATCTCTGATACAGCAAAGCAAGGCAAAAATACACCGCTAGAGGATGCTGACCGATTTCTGTGCACAATGGAAACAGCTGACTGGGCTAAGGCAGCGCCCACAAAGGGAGAAACATACTCATTTTGGCTGTACAGCACTCTTTGGGCTAGTCTGAAGCATCTCCTTCCCCCACCTCTCACTCGTGCATAAACACGGCTGATTCAACAGCCTGTGTTGCTGAACACCTTCAGCTGTGGCAGCAGAACTCAGTGAAGAGCTGTTGTGCACCTATTTGAAATACTGAGGTGGTGTCGTGTGTGTCCTCCCCTTTAAAGTAAACATGTAAATTAAAAAGGAGGTGGGGGGGGGGAAGGTTTTTGGGAGGGGAAGAACAAGGGACAAAACTGGAAATACAACCCTCACTGACTTTTTACTAGCATGCAATCTATGTAACATTAATATACAAAGCCTGTTTACCTTGGCCTGGTCTATGACCATTACATCACATCATCCCCAAACAAGCCACAGAATTAAAATCTGTATAAAATAAAAAAAATATGCATAAACCTCAACAAATTTCTTTACATTAGTACTGCATAATAAAGCATAAAACCAGCAGGAGGTGACCCAAAATTCCATCCACAGCAGCTCTTGCAGGATCAATGATTCCATGTGCTATGAGCAGGGACCAAACTCACCCCTGGCCCACCAGACCAAAGCCTGTTCTTTAAGGAGCTTCACACATTCCACTTTCAACGTTTTGCAGCCTCATGTGCTGTGCTGAGCTCAGGCACGCGTCCAGCACTTCCCCAAGTTGATACTGCTCTGCCCTCGCCATACAGGAAACTTGCAAGATGAACAATCAGCTGAATGAAGATGAAGGACATGGGTGTGCATCACACAGAGTGGAAGTACACGCTATCTCCACCCGCCAGACCTATTCATGCGCAAGCTCTTACACAGACTTAAAGACTCATTTCACTAATGCGTGACCTCCCAGCTGGAGCATGGGTGCACAGGGAGAGAGGCTCAGCTCGCATGTAGTAGCTCACTAAGCTGCCATGACTTGGTGCATTTCAGCACCGTGTGCTCAGTCTTCACTGAAAGCCTGCCCAGAGCAGGAGAAACCAGGAAAGCTGATAGTCCTGGAAAACATAAGTCACCCTGTGAGCACCCAAGCCTTGTGCTTTTCTATCACCTGTGCCACCAGCCAGGCTGCAAGCACCACCTCCCTCTGCAAAAAGTGTAGACCTGCCCTATGGCACTAGAAATAGTATTCCAGTGACTGCACAACCAGCGTTTCTAGGCTTGCTCCCAGAGAAACAATGGGCTGAGGGAACTGAACAGGGCTGCTTCTGTTTTAGTCTTGCTGTGAGACAAAAGTTTTCACAGAAGGTAGAAGGGTGTCTGTTCTGGCTAACCTCATCCCAAACAATAATGTGGTCAGCTTCCAGAAAGAAAAGTCTCTCTTGGCTGCACGGCTGTGGATTGAGCAGGGGAGAAAGTAACCTCTATCTTTGCACCAGTTTCTTCAAAGTTGTACTGCCTGTAGGCTTCAACCAAACTCGTTCCTTACGCACTGGCAGAGGAGTTGTTAACACACTCTTCCACAAGCTTACCGCAGGTGATCACATCCATCCATATCCCACAAACACACCTCACCTGTTTGTTTCCTCTTTCTTCCCCCTTGAGCAGCTATGGTGCTGCCCCGCCCAGGTTTGCACCAAACCTGCACCTCCATCCTGACACTGCACTAATTACCAAGGAAGGGGATTGGGTCAGTTACCCACATCGTTGCCAATACCATCACCAACCCAGCGCCGGCAGCACTCTCTTGTGCCCTGCTCAGGCCTCAGAAGACAGGTGCAGCATTGTCTCGCCTTTGACAAGCTGCTGTTGGCCACACAACCGTCAAAAGTTGCCCGGGGGGACGCCCTGGCCGAGGAGGCTCTCGTGATACAGGGGCCAGCTCAATTTGCAGGCTAACAGGACTGCAAGAGGAGATTTAATTGGTTCACTCTGTTAATGCATGACATTTACCCAAAGATAACTTTCAGTCCTTCCTAAGGGCAGACTAGTACAGCCACCACTTTATGCTGATCTGCTAGGCAGAATCACTGAGCAGCATTTTTAACTGAGACTAGGTTAAAAAGCAAACTATCAACACAAGGGGCTACAGAGCCTTCACTTGGTATTACTCCACCCCAGATCCACCAGTACGGCTCAAAATATCTATTTCTTTATAATAAACAATGGAGAGGGCTGGGGGAAGAGCTAGGACTACTACTAGTTACTGCGTGGATTTCCATGGGAAACCAGTACACACAACAGCCCTTTTTACTTCCACTGAAGAGATTTTTTTTGGCAACAGACATGAAGACGACAATTGCCGTTTGTCCTGCCTCTGCACAGGGCTCTCACAGTACATATGCAAATCTAGTTGTCAAGTACAAAATAGCCAATTTACAATACCTGATTGGATTTTTAAGATTATATTGTGCATAAGACTAAAGTTGGGGGTAAGTTTCTGTAGTGCAAGCAGGCATGAGTAGATTTGAACCTCAGATCACAGCCCTAGAGTTTATCCTCAGACCCCAGGAGGACCTGTAAACTTTGTTTCGCCTTCATCACCAACGGCATCTGTGAGTTCTGTTTAAACCAGCAGCACCCATGGTGAGTAGCTCACTGCGGAGAGGAGCACATTTACATCAGTGCAGAACACAAAACAAATCTGTGGCATTCAAAAGATGAGGAAATGGGGGCAGGGGTCCTCTGGGCTGCAGCCATCTTAATTGTCTAAACTGAAAGGTGAGTGAATGAAAGCCAGCTCTGTGTGCCCCCGTGTCAGACTACATGTGCAGAGCAGCTGCAGAAGTGTTTATGCTAAAGATGTATCCAACTATCTGGAAGTCAGTTACAGGAATGGCTCTGTGTAGTGTTTCCTAGCACACGACTGTTCTTGCAGCTGCAGGGGAGTGTAGTGTAGAAACAGGAGGGATGTCCACTGGCCAGTAACCCTTCACCGCAAGTATCCAGGACATCGCAAGCGCCAGGCACTGCTGCCAAGGGTAGTACCACGAGGGCACACAGGATTCCTGAGACAGATCCCAAAGGCTGTCAGAAGAAGTCAGAATTCGAGTGAAGTATCAGCTACTCAACAAGTTCGTTACATCTGAATGGGTCAGCTTAATTCAATGTCAGATGGCCCAGGACAGCCTCTGCTGGCAGCTGGAAGAGCCATTTGTTCATACAACTCAAATCACTATTGTTTTATAATGGGGGGGTGGGGGAGGGAAACAAAACAAAAACCAAAAAAACAAACCCAAAAGAGTGGTTGTTACAATTATCCTTCATTCAGTTATCCTGGATGGGGCCCCAGAGGCTGGTGGAGATCTGGGAAACCCTGACAGCTCCTGCAGCAGGAGATGCAGCGTTCTGTCCTCTAGTCTTCACTCCGAGTAATGCATGATCGACTCCACATAGTTCCCTGGGAAGAGCCCCGTCACTCCATTCATGACCCCCTCATACCAGCCGTCGTCATTTTTCTTGATGACGTAAATGATGGCACCTTCCTGAAATGAGAGCTCATCTTCTTTGTCTTTCGTGTAGTCATAGATCGCCACCACTAGGAAAGAACAGAGCGTGACTGTTAGGAGAGGTACAAGGAGGAGGAAAATCAACTTACCCAGTACAAAGTTCTCCACATTCAAGGCAATCTCAGAGAACTGCACTGCCTCACCTCTGTGTGCAAAATGACCTGCTGAGAGGGGCAGTTTCTTCTCACCCTTTTTGTAAGCGCTCGTGCTTTGAAGCACATGAGCCAGGATTACTTTAACTCTTCTGTTCTTACTCTTTCCAGATCCATCAGAGGAAACATTTACAATTATGTGATAAACTTTTTGTGTGGAATGATAGGAGGAGGTGTATGTAACTCCCCATGGCTATGACTACTCAGACCTACTCCAAGATTCATGTATGTACTACACCAGATCTCTGCACAACAGCAGAAAACCATGGAAGAGGGAGAGTAATAAGAGCTCTCTTCAGATCACAGTTAGAATGAGCCGAGGCTAATGTCCCAGACTTCCATCTATCTTAGCTTCCTCCACATTTAAATGTGTAAAATGTGTATGTGCAGTCCCAGTAGCTAGAAGTCACTCCCAGGTATACAGTGCCAAGGTGAGTGAATCCCAGTTAGGAGCTAGGAAGAAGTAAGGTGGTTCTCTGAAACAAAATGTGTGCCTACTCTATCAGGACATTTTTCTTACAGCTGCAGAATATTTTACAGAAGGCACAAAACACTGTTAGGAAAGTCAAAGAAATTGGACAAAGCACTGGCAAATATTAAAAGAGAGCATTGTCCTGAAATGGCAGAAAATAGACATCAACTTGGTATGTTTTTCCATTCTCAGTTCTATCATTATGTGTTCCATACAGAAAATTAGTGATGCCAGACTCGGAATACTTTAACAAATAGCATCAGTCACTGCTTTGAGCACTTGGCAATGAAACATGCACTGCTGCCATTGAAACAAAATGGATATTGGACAAGGGCCCTAAAATCTTGTACTGGGGACAGAAGGGAAGATACTCTGACCTAAAGCAAGGAGAAAAAAAATACCAACATGTGTTCATGAGCACAGTGTCCAAGAGTCCTACTAAACTCATCGTTCTTTTCAAAAGAAAAGAGGTCATTTCCTTTTGAGGGAGCAGAGGAATCAATACAAATATTTATTAGGGAAACCTGGATCCTGAGGAGATTATAAAGTAAAATATACAAATCAATCCCGGTGGAGAATCAGAGTATGTACAGAGGTTTGGGTTTGGGGGTTTTTGGATTTGGTTTGTTTCTTTGTTTTTTTAAATAAATCTCCCAAACAGGAGATTTGTATCATTTGACCAGAGCATTTTTAAAAAACGCATGTTGCTGGCTCTACACTTAGGCCAGGACAGTTTTTAAGTAACTCATTCTAAATAGTTTTAGGCATATCATTCTAAGGAAACAAAACGCAAATGGAGACCTGAGTACATTTTTAGTTTGAAAAACAGAAGTCACTATATGAACACATGATAGATTCAATTAAAGTCCTTCAAAATTCCTTTTAAACTACTTTCTATACCTTTTAATTTTAAAACGTTTCTTCAGAGTCACTGTGCTGCTGTTCTTTATTCTCTCGATAATAATCCAAGTATCATGGTAACTTCCAATTCCTTTCCTTCTCATTTTTGAGTGTACTCTAGTCCCTTCTGATACTGAATGGATCCATTATTTCATGATCACAAGTAGAAAACTCTTCCCTAAGTCTGTGCTGAAAACTCGCTACTTGTTAAGCCTCTTATAAAACTACCTGAAGCCTGGTTTTGTTTTTACATCACCATTGCTTCCTCCTGCATGTTAACTTTTGTACTGGCAATCTCTCTAAAAGTCTGTTTAATCCTTCTGTCCCACCAGTTCAAGCTGTGAGCTTGTCGCACACCACGAGTTACCAGGAGCCCAGGCCAGCACTGCAAAAAAGGCTCCAGATGAGACAGGATGCAGCAATACTGACTCAGGAGGTGGCATCCTTCCCTGCGAGACTGAGCCAGGACCTCTTTTAGTTTCTATCTGAACACGTTTCAATGCAGATATGAAAAACAGAATTACTCATTTAGGTTGATATTCTTCCAATCGGTGATCTTTGCTGCTTCAACAATTACACAGAGTTTGGCTGAACTCTGGTACATCAAACTGACCACAACGTAGGCCAAATTGATTATCCAACTGAAATCTGATAGATGTGACCACACACTTTCTCTTTGTGGTATGAGGGCAATTTTTCTGTCTGGATACCCATTTCTGTTCATCTGATTTGCAAAACTGGGACATTTTCTTACCTTTTCATGCCATGCACCCAGACACACAGCTCAACGGAAAACTGCAGCGCGCCTTCCTGGACGTTACAGCCATGGGGTAGCGTCCCGAAGTTCAACATCCCCAGTAACTGTACCCTAACAGTTTCTCCATCTGTTCAAAATGGATCTGGTATTCACTTCCTTCCTCAGCCATAGGTTAGATCATGTCTTAATGTTAAATATACCTCCCACACTGCATGATTCCTTTACAGAACAGGATCACACTGAATCTCATGTCAATATATTGCAACCCTCTGTATTTGACACCTCCTTGGCGTCCCAGCTTCTACATTCTCACTTTTGCAAAGGTTATCTACACTAATCCTATTAGAAATGCTTTCACCTGAACATAAATAAGTGAACAGGCATACCAAAAGAACAAGCACAAGTCCTAGGAATTGCTACTCTATGTGTTGGGGGTAATAGTGTTTGAACAGCCATTTCCTTCCATCAGTTTTGTCTGCTTTGAATCATGTGGCACAGAATACTGTTTATAGGAACTTAAGGAGTTGCCATAGGAATAATTATTTTGCAGAAGATAAAGCATTATTAGTTCACAGCAGGATAAGCATACACATTCTTTGAGTATGAAAGTCCTTTTAGCATGGGGCTTTTCATTAACTTTAAAGCTTGTTTGCTACAGGAAAAAAAAAAAAAAAAAAGGAATCACAGCCAAGCACTTCTCTTCCAACTCCAGCAAAGCAGTCAAATCTCAAGACACGGGCTGAATATAAGCAGAGCTATTCATATAACTACAGCACAATCCACACCTATGTCAATATCTCATTTTTTCTGGTATCCTAAAACTACTGTTGAACAGTTCTTCACACATTGTAAGCACTTTAATTTTTTATTACTTTTATAAGTGTTTCTAAGAACAGACCAAACTTTTAGATGTTTTGGTCATCTAGTTTTCAAAATAAAGATCAAAATTATGTTTTTTCATGGGACTCTACATCAATATGACAGAATGTTTGGGTTCCTATACTTTTGCTTTTCTGCAGGAAAAATGTTCTGACTAAAAGCCTGACTTTCTCCAACTTATCTTTAAAGATTCCCATTACAGTTTTGCTATCCCACATGCTTTTCCCTGTAAATATCAAACTACAAGTGTTTGGACTGCCTGCTGAGATGGAACAGATCTGTGCATATATGCACCTATATAAATTATTTTAGTTCATGAGCTCATAGAACTCACATAGAAAAGTAGATCAGAACAACATACTATAATTCAAATGTCATTATTTCTTCAAATAAAAAGTTGTTTCCCCAGGCCACATACCAGATGATTTTGGGGCTTCTCTTCCCCACAAACACACCACACCACCCCCAACCCCCCGCCTTGTATTAGTATGAAACACCATAAACAGGCAATGCACATCAGGGTCCTCTTTTGTCTCTTTTGCTCCTAGCTGAAATGCCACTGAGAATTTGCTGAGGGCCAGGTGGCAGGAATAACAGAAACATAACAAAGGTAATGATATGAATGTCGAATTAGGCTAAAGAGTGTCTTATGCCTGGAAAAATAGAAAAAAAAAATCTTGAGACTCACACTCCTGTCAAAAAGTAACATGCATGCAATCTCCATCCAGCCCAAAACACATCAACCACAATGAAACTGAGCAGATACTGTGCATTCTCAGACCTGCCTGATAAGGAGGAGTTCATTAAGTAATGTAGCACATCCAGTATTTGCTGAAATGGTCCCAATCTGAAGAAATCTGAAATCCTCCCCCAAAGAAAGAAATGCTACATCAGGAACCCCACCCCACCCACCAGCTCATTTCGTGAAGCCAGGTAACTAACATCAATAATCAGGAATACCCTCCAAACTGCACAGCAAGAAGAGTCCTTTGTATACAAGATCCCTTTTTTCCCTGTCCTCCCTCATGGAAATAAGCTTCCCCAACAAGGATAAGCTGAAGCAACTTTTAATCAAACTAAGAGCCTGTGTGCATCAGCAGAGTAACAGTGATGCTTGCTGTCAGTCAGGGGTGCGGAGAGGTCAACAGATAAAGCAAGTCAGCCACTTTGTCTGACAAATGATCTTCGCTTGTCAGCAAAACCTGGGTACTCCTTGCACTAAACACTTCACACCAGCTACATGGAGGGTGGGGGAATAACAAAAACATTCCCACATGTTCCTCCACCTCCCTCAGGAATAGCAGGATTTTCTTTGAGTTGAGGTTGGCAGAAAGTGCCTTTTCCATCTTCTTTTTCTTTTTTTTTTCCTTCCCTCAAGTCCTGCACTGGGTTTATCTTTGTGGCATTCTTGAATTTTTTTTCCCTGATGCAGACTGAATGTGTCTAACAGTCACTCAGCTAAGACGCTTCGTTGCTTTGCCACATTAGATTTTGTATCACCCTTTACTAAGAGGTACATGACCTTGTTTCACAGGAGAACACCAGGCTGTAGATTTTTTCATATTCAAGTGCCTCTAAGCCATTTACCTACTCAGTTTATTTTACCTGTAGTTTTACTCCAGCATGTTTCCACACACCTATTTCAGAACTGGAAGACATCTAGACGCAGCCATGCAGCAATGCCTCAGTTAGTCAGTCCTACACCGACTCGGCACTTTTTAGCTTAGCATGGCCCCACACTGGTGCAGCATCGCAGCTTCCAGAGCCCCAAACACGCATTGCAGCATTTCTCCGGATGCACCCATACATTCAAAGTTCAAGTGCAATTGCAGCACTGATTCATTCATTTTTGACCTCATCTGAGTTTGATTATTAGGATTAAGCAGACTACTGAAAGGTGAGTCTTAAGTAGATTACAGAGGATTTAAAAAAAATATGTAATTAGCCAGCTAACCATTACCCTCCCTTTGTGGAGAAAAGGGTGAAAGAGTCAGACTGAGTAGCTCAACTTCCGTTAAGTTGCCATTTGGAGGAGTACCTCTACCACAACACCAAATACTGGCTACGAAGCAGTCTTGGCAGACTCCACATCCAAAGCTTATACAAAATGTTGTTACAAACATGACCCTACCATCTCTACCAGCTCTAAACCTACCCTTTTCTAAGTAGGTCCTTGGTGCCCAAGGAGGGTCCTCCTCAGCATATGGATCACTGTACTCCACCACAGCTGCTTCCTCCTCCTCATAATCCTCTGGAGGTGGAGGTGGAGGTGGAGATTCATCAAACGCTGGTTCATCCACAGGCGGTGGCGGGGGAGGAGTATCTGAAACTGAAAATAAGCAGTAGTATAACCACAAAAATGTCTCTAGAACCATGGCAGCAGATTGAAGTAATACTCCCTATCCCAATTAGTCGCACTGGGAGCAGTAGTTAGAACTTGTGGAAATACACTGGAGACAATAAAATTCAGAGAAGGAAGGATCAGGTTCCTCCACTAAAATTATTTCCTTTTCCCTCCCTTCACAATTTCAGACAAACTTGCAGAGGCAGTAGAGAAGTCAGAATTCTGGCTATATACAGGCAAATCTTTCACCCACTCTAAACAAAAGCCACATCCAGTAATAAATCATAGCACAAGGAAGCCGCAAACTTACTGTTTTCTTGAACTCTGGCCACAAATCCCATTAGCGGTAACTGTGGAGTTACCTGTAGGATGGAGGGGGGAGGAGGAGCAAGGGATGCTGCCACAGAAATTAAAAAGAGAGAGGCATTCAGTTAGAAACACAACAAAGCAGCAAACAGGAAAGTAGACATCATCCCCACTCAAGATAGTGCAGCAGTCTGCCAAGAAGCTAAGATAAAAAAGCTGACATTCAAAGAAAAATGGCTCAGGTGGTTTAAGCATATTCCTAATCCTTACCTCAAGGATTTTTAAAATTTCCAACCCAGCTCTTTTTCATAAGATTCAGAATCCATGCTGAAGTATTTTTCTGATCTCACAATGAGATTCCCTTAGTTGAAGTTTATTACTACAGCAATATAGCACTTTATGAACAGACCTAACTAACAAATATATCCAGAGGATTCTCTACCTATAATCCTCCACCTTTCAGACCAAACTGATATTTATAGAGGTGAATTCTGTAACAGCATCCAGGAATCCTTAGTAACAAAAATGGATATAACTAGTTTTCTCCAAAACGTAGGCCAAAAAACCCATCAAATGAGGCAGTTACGTTAGGCAAAACAGAAAAAGACACTTTTGAGAACTGAGCGTACTTGGAAGACACGGGACTTCTGACCTTATTGGTAGAACAGCGCACACTGTGCTGCTGCCAAACAGCAGGGCCTATTCCAGATGTGCTGCCTTGTTTCCTTCCCACCTGATTTTGCAGACCACTGCACTGAACTCTGAACAGCCCTTTTACTGCCACCAAAAGAGCTGTCTTTGTACAAGACGTGAATTCACATTTAAAGAAGATACTCTCAGACAGTTGCAAATGTTATAACGCTGAACTGTGGTTTAAGCCAGGAATGAAAGTTTCAGTTATCTAGTTAAGTTAGAAAAAACAGTTAACTAGTTTTATCTAGTTTTAATATCACTTTGCAAGAGTAATACAGTGATATTCTTTAAGCAAGTTATGAGATTATTTTTCAGAAAGCACACCTCAGGAAAAGCACAACTAAACAATTTTCTTGTTAGTAGTGGAATACAAAAACATTTAGTCATGTCCAAAAGAATGAGTCAAGAAGGTCTACACTTCATGGACCAGTACCTATATTTAGCTTGCAGAATAGAACTAAATAAATTTCAGACTAATTCTAGAGCTGGTTAAAAAATTGCCAGGTATGATGTAGTATTTTTCAGAATTAATTCACATCGTCATAGCAAATGAAAATAACTCCAGGGCATTTAAAATTAATGTGTCAAATTTCTTCTGTTTGCTTATTTCAGTAACTATTATCTAAAGTGCTTTGAATTTCTTCTGTCACTCACATTCACATTCCTTTCACAACCACATACCCCAAACAAAAACAAAAAAACACAACAAAGCAACCATCCTTTTTGTTGCAAAACTATCCTTGTACCTCCATATAAAGCAAGCTCCATTATCTCACCATTTAATTGATGTTTCTTGGGAAAAACTGAAATACATTTCTAATTACAGCTTCTTTGACTTGAATGATGTGACATCTGAGAGTATTTATTCCTTCAAGTGGAACCACAGTACCTGGAAAAACATTCGGTCTTGCATTTTTTCAAAGCAGGAAAAGGGAAGTTGAATTTGAAGTCCTACTGAAATGCAGTAATATTCACAAATTCAGCATTCTTGTGCAACTATGAAGTCCCTGCCTTTTTAACTATATATGCTATAAAAATGTTCAGTTTCAAAATGTTTCCTCTATTCAACGTCATATGGATTCATACAACTCATATCTATCACATGAGACTAGCCTCAGTTTCCTACATCCCTTCAGTGTACTTTGTGTGCTGTATTTATTTTTTTGAAAGAAATAATGAGGCTTTCCACGTAGAAAAATAAATCACTCTAGACAAGCACTCCAAGCAATTACAAAAAAAAAAAAATCCTTAGTTTAGTTTGGGTTGTGTAGTTTAATCAAAATGTTGATGCTAAAACTAGCTGACATCGTTCATTGTTTATCTTAACCATTTGGTTTGTGCTTCAGCCTATGCATAGTGCAGGGACTATCATATTATATGGTCTCTATATGATATAAATGACTAAGCTAGTTTTGACCTTTAGGAGCCTATACAGTAAGTATTTTATTAATAATGTCTTTGTTTATAAAATGCATCAGAAGACCTTTACTGTACCTCTGCTGCCTCAAAAGATGAGACAAACACCAGCTTAAACGTTCCCTCCCAGCTTCCTTCCATATAGACCATTGGTAGATGAAGAGTTAATTTACAGCAACCGTGAAGATAAACTCAGAAATGCTCAAGAGCACCTTCCACTAGATTGCTTCAGCTTGGTAAGAATTCAGTTGTACAAACTGTGTGTAGCACAGACCACCATCTCAATACTTGACCAGTTTCTCCCACAAGGTTTTTAGCCTGTGCTGAGCTCTATACTGCTTAGCTACTGGTATCTAAGGTTGCAAAGTTGAAACACTTGTTAGGTGGCATGGCTGGCAAGAATGGCTTTGGGACAGACATATGCTGAGATCATTTAGGGTCTGCATTTCTTAGTATTTTCTTTTCAGTTGTTAAAAAGGTCTCACCATGAAGTAGAGAAATTATACTGTCTTAGAAGTGGCATTCAAAAGAACAGAGCAATGCAAGTATCTTTCATCCTCCTCCTGAAGTGAATGAACAAAAATGACTACGCCAACATACTAAAAGATGGAAGTGGAAAAAACAGTACTGCTTTGTTGCCAAACAGCCTGCAAAGAACAACAAGCCATAGATGGCACACTCTTCTGCCTCTTTTTCACCTCTTGAATTTGTTTTCTCCCTCTCTTCAAGGAATGCTGAGAAGCAATTGTGGTCCCTGTCTCATCACTACTAACCCTGCTTCTTACAAACACAACAGTCCCTCTGTTCTTAGGGCCTTCATCAATTATGCATGCTTGAGCATCCTCTCCTTTCAAGGTACAGGCAAAAAATTTGGTTTCGTATAATTGCAAAGCTAATAAATTCTGTGTTCTGCTAGGTATAGAAAAAAAGTCTCTTACAACAACTGCTTATTTATGTTGTATCAAGTATGCCAGTATAACTGAAGTATTTTGTTTGCCATTTACAGCTCAAGTGACTATTTACAGCTCAAATGACTAATCACCATAATCACTATATCTTCTTTTGGGGTACACAGACTGAATTGTGATTACGTAACTTATTTAAAGTCTATTTGGAATCTTCTATGATTACCTATTAATAATGCAATGGTAACTTGCCCAGAATTATCCCTTTGCTAAAGCAGAAATGCACAGCAGTTGTCAGAAATTCTCTGGACATAATGGAAACCCTCTTTGCTGCAAAGGTAATCCTGAAAGGTTTCTTTTGTTGCTGTTACTCTTCTTGCCTACTCCCCTTCAGCCTTCACTATGTACATAATGTGCTTAACAAAACCCACATATTTCAGGCAACTGGGTTACAATTTAGTCGTACAACCTCCTCCACCTGCCTGTCCTCACAGCAGGACCATCCATTTCCTTCTCAAGCACACACATCTCTTTGCAGGGTAGCTTACAAGCAGCAATATTTGAACCTGATCAAATCCCTTAAATGCAGATTGCAGCATGTGATCTAATTCCAAGTTCAATGCTTAATTAAAAAAAACCAACAACAACAACAACAAAAACGACACCAAAACCCACCACCACAGTAACCACAAAACACAAACACACTGCAGTGCTTGCAAGTCAACATTCGGTCTTGCTGGTAATAGGGCATTTCCTAACAACGAACCTTCAGTATGTCCCCTGCATCTTTCTGTAGCTTTGTTAAAACAGAAAGTTTCCCTTACTCTGGTATCAAAACCTTCACGTTGCATCCGAAGCACAGTGAAAATGACTCCTTAGATGAAAAGCTACTGCGTTCTTCCTGACACACAGGACATGCTGCTCCTTGTTAATATCTCATCCTGCTTTTAAAGACAGGTCGCCTGTTAAAAGAACATCACCTGTGGTCTTAGCAGATGACACAGCTCCCTTGCATCCCATACCAAACACCACTGATGTCTCTAAGGTGTCTAATGCTTACCCTTGTATAACAAGTGCAATTTCTTGAACTGTCCATTAATCAGAAGGAAAAAGCATACAAGATAAAGACTGATTAATGAAGAATCAGTGTCTTGGTGCAAAATCAATTACTCATCCCACACCAAAGCAGATACATGACACATGGTGTAGTAAGGGACTAAAGCTTGTCTAATAGGGACTGTGAGATCCAAAGTAATTTATTTAGCAATAAAGCCAGTATTGTTTTAAGCTGCTTGCCATAATGGAAGCTGAACCCTCTGTACTTGGATTGCAGCTTTGGCATGGCTACCAGCAACCTACTGGAAGTTACCTGAGACTAACTGCAAGATCTGCAACAGACAGAACAGAAGATTTCAGAGATCTGAAGGCCACTCCATTCACCACTGTGTTGAATTCAACAGAGCAGAAAAACTTTCTTACCTGGGTTCTGGTTATAAAATGGTCCTCCGTTCATCTGGTTCTGCAGGCTTGTCTGTGATGTGATCGAAGGAGGACGCCGATATGGCAAAGATCCCCCTATTGTTGGGGGGGTGTGTCGAGATGCAGGCCTGTTCATGCTGTAGAACTGAACTGGGTGACCTAGGTTAGAAAGAGAAATGTATTAGCAAAAAGAAAAATGATGCCTGCCTTTGTGTATCTGCATTCAAGATTCAAAGGTTTGGAAAAGCTTTGGTTTGTTGTTTTTTTCTTTTTTTCAAGACAGTCTGCATCCTAGGAGCAGTCAGCCAGTTCAGCTGCCAGACTGGCAAGACACTGGATGTCTCAATAGCAACACAAAAAACAACCCTCCCAACTGCCTGTACTCAGCACTGCTTGCAAATGAAAATACAAAGGTATCTAAGCTACAATGCTTCAAAATAAAAGAGAATAATTCCCAGTTATCCATTTTATATAATGTATTAAAGTAACTTCTTTCAAATTTAGTTATTTATAAACCTGCAAAAAAATAACATTTCACAGTCCAGTAATTAAGCAACATATACATACAAACCAACCGTATGCCATTTCCAAGATTCAAAGCTGTTAACTTCTACAAATGAAAAACGCAATACTAACTATCTTAGTGCTGTTCAGAAAAAGCGCAGAGAATCCTCTGGGGAGAAGAAAATGTTAGAAACTTCTTGAAGGATGGAATAAATGAAATCATACTCAAAGACTCTCTTTCAGGAAGCTGTCAATTGAAACAACTCCTTAGAAATTTGCTCTCCATTTCAATCACTTCCTGTACAAAAGTAATTGATCTGGTATCTAAGCAAGCAATAAATGAAGCAAGACCATTAAGCTATCTTCTGTGCTCACATAAAGTTCTCTGCCTTATATACTGTATGTAACAGTAAACTGGATTTATTATACCCATACATGTTATTACCCTCCCTAACTATTCTGCCTCTACCATTCGTGCTAGAGGTAGATTTCAGAGTTTGCAAGAAAACAAGAGAAGAAGGGATGGTCAGTGGCTGAGGAGACATGCACGCAGGGAAGTAAACAGGGAAACAGAACAAATAAATGTGCAGTTTTTTTAAAACCTGCATTGTTCTCCACTACGTTTTGATTGCTTTGCAGAACTTAACATTAGGTCACTAAATAAAACGCAAGTTGCTTGCTCTGTTACTTGCTTCTAAGAGCAAATGCATGAACTAGACATTCACATTTCTCCTGCTTTGTACAGATACATACATCTCAAAAATGCACTTTTTACAGGTGAGGAAGAAGAACAGTTAAGAAGCAATCCACCTAGGATATAGGCTTTTTCATATTTTTCTGAACGTGTCTTCCCAATGTGTCTGTCTCCCTGTTACATAATGCACTGGTAGAAATTGGTGGTGATTGGAGAGAAGGGAAGAGAGAAGGAACAGGGATGAGAGATCCTTAAGGACCAAAAACTACAACCTCATTAATGGTAAACGATCCAGTCTCTTCAAATACTTTGTTTTGGAGAAGCTGTGCAAGCAATCTCATTAATAGCACAGGGAAACAAAAAAATCTTATAGTAAGTAACCTGAAATTTCTCTTATGGAATTCTGAATGTGAATTTATAGCCATTAAAATATTAATCTCTCCTTAATTTTGATTTGTCAAAAATACAGAAGCAATATGACTTAAGAACTGGGATACTGACAGTGCATCAAAAATGGAAAACTGACTGAGACCCCATATGACACAGCTCATCTTCTACACATGAAAGTAGTTTAGACTTCAGGATCATCTTCTGATACCAAAATTCATCAGAGTTCGGAAGCTTCTAGTCATAGTCATGGATTCTAGTGTAAGTATTTTCTAATTTCATATGAGCCACAGCACCTTAAACTAAATAAGATTTCAGGAATACTTCTGGTACCTGGTGAAATTCTTACCAAGAGAGACCAACACTAATAAACACACAAACCAATTCAGACCATTGTGATCAGCTTCCACTATATGAAAAGTAACAAAGCAATGTATGAATTTGGCTGTCTAAAGGAGATCTTTACAATGCAGGTATAACTCCTCATCAAAAGGTGACACAGAACAGTGATATGGTCAGTAAGTACTAAATCCTGCAACTTCAGCATATGAGAAAATGAAAAATGTAGGGTGATTTCATAAGCATAAAAAGCTTTTTTATGCTTTATTATATACACCAGAAGTATCACCTATTAAAAAAAAATGCTTTAGGACTATTCTGCATTATAAAACCTGACTGTTTTCTCTGACATTGAACACAAAAAAACTGCCCTTTTTATCAGTTCATTGAAAGGAGACTTGTCATTTGAAAGCATTGAAGAGATAAGTTATATAAATTATGCTTTGCTAGATGCACATTTTTTTATTCCATTACTGAAAGAGAATCATCAGACCCAGAACTATCAGTGCTGGTTCCCCCCAAACATAATTATTCTATGAGATTCTCAGTAACCAAACCACAATAAAATTATATGTAATAAATAATTAAATAAATGTAAAAATAAGAAAATGGTAAAATTATATGATTGCCGTTTATAAAACTAGCACACCTTGAATTGTCTACTACAACCATTAACTTACAGTTAGGTATTAGCAGACATTTTCTAGTTATAATTGGAAAAAAAAATTAAAAAAATTCGCTGTTTCTGAAGTAACTTTGGAAAGCCTTGGATGGTGATCACCTCTGGGTTCATCTGCCCACCAGCTGGAGCAGAGACTCACCTGTAGAGGGTGTGGAAGAAACAGCAGGGGGAGTTGGAGAGGTGAAGCCATCAGCAAGGGGCTGAGCTCCTGCAGCAGCAGCAGCAGCATCTGGGGCAGCGGAGGAAGGGGCAGGAGCAGGAGCAGGAGGAGTGGGGGTAGGAGCAGAGGTAGCAGGAAGGGGAGAAGTGCCAGCCGAGCCAGCAGGGGCTAAGGGAAGAGAGGAGGAAGAGGTGGAGTTAATAAGGAGATATGTTAGCAAGGATTAGAGAAAGCCTTTGGCTATTCAATGTTAGCTATTTATTAGATGCATAGTATTTTAGAATGCACAAGGAGATGAGAGAAAAATGCAGCTGTTAAACAACGGTTCATTCCTATGTAAACAGTAAATAAGCATCAAGCAAATCCACTTCTTTCCAGGTCTGAAGGGAACAACCCAGAACTTTTCACCAAAAGCCATTACTTTTGAAAGACATCTTTACACCTTGTCATTTACACTTCGATCTGTAGCACGGCTGCCTTCAGCTTTTGTACAAATGAGACAATATAGAGAAGAGGAAAGCCAAAAATTTCCAGTTCTATGGTTCAGAAGCATCATGTATTTCAGATCACACTGCAAGCCACCTACACGCTCTTCTTCACTGAAAGGGGTGAGCAAAGGAAAAAGGAGTACTAGTATCACTTCCTCTTTCTGGAAACACTGGGGCAACTACATTGAACAAGTGTCTTTTTGTGACAACTCAGTTAGGCTTGCATTAATGTACTAAAGATTTACTCTGTGCCTGCCTCTCTTTTCATCTAATTTCCTAAAAACACGCTTCTATGTATCTGCATGAACAGCCAATGAAAAAACATTTATTTGCTTAAAAGGACACGAGAGAAGTTTCCCCCAGCCCACTGAAAAAGGTGTCATGTCTTACGTAGTCACATGCAGGCAGCCAGGCAAAAAATTCTGATAAACAAGTTAATATATAAAAGAAGCATTAGAGCACATGAGACACTCGCAGAAAAGATACTACTCGATTCAAACTCATACTATCAATAGCAAGCAATTTTCAAGGCTTGCATGTTTCTGGATAACAAACTTTGAGACTTCTCTTGGGGTTTAGGAGACTCGCAAATGCTAAAGGTTAATGTTGAGTCAGAAAGAGGAACAGCAAGTTTCCATTTACCTGGATAGACACTGGGAGGAGATGGTGTGGGAACAGCAATAGGAACACCCACACTTCCACTTCCACTGTTCTCTCGACTGCTGCTCCGACTACTTGGGTGGCTTCCTCCACTACTCCCACTGCTGCTGTAAGAAACAAAATAACCCAAGGTATGAATATGCTCCTGTGCATGCTGAAACATAAGCTCTCTTATATAGCACCTTACTAATTCAGAGAAGTAACAGGGAACAACAGAAAAGAAATAAGGATGATATAAACCTGTATAAAGTTTAGTTTTCCTAAAACTCTTCACTTTGACTACAACACAACAGGTTTTTCAGTTAGTCTTAGTGAACTTGCCCAAAAATGAAACACTTTGGGAACCTTATTCCAAAGCACATCATTCCAGTATTGTTAAACCCCTACTGAGCAAATACAGACATTTTTCTTATAACTTATAAAACACGTAGACTGTTTAGACTCTGATTTATATGTTTTCATATGAGACTACTGCAATCTGGAAAGTCAAATTTTCTTATTTTAAGCCCATCAGTTTAGCCATCCTCAAGTACTTACGATGGTTAAAAAGTAAAGATTTCTAAGGAAGTATTTAGACTTGTCACATCATGAAACTCTTATCATCCTAGAGAAAAGGCTAGCCTTCTGCAGAACCTTTGGTAATACAGTTCAGTTTTATTCTGTGTTTGAAGTTATCAGTATCCTCAAAATATAATGCTCTTTTTCAGCTACTCAAACTATAAACATCGAAGACTGTTCAAACAAAAATGTGAACTACAAGTATACTATATAGTCCTTCAACACACAGAAGGCAAGTTGTGTACAAGGTCTTTTCCCAGTTTTGTAAGCATTTCGTAAAATATATCATGATCTACCTACTTGAAAGACTTCACAATTTTAGTAATTCATTAAGTACTGTAACTAAAGCGATAGCACTAAAATTAAGGCAACTAGGGGATTAAGTGAACAATCTTAACATGATTCACTACTCTGGTTTTATTAGAGCGCATTCTTGCCATGCCAAATGACGTTCCCAGTCTGTATCATGAATTAGCAAGCTTCACTGTAGAGCTACAGATGGATTTGATGTTTATCGTACCATTTTTTTGTCCATACGCTTATACAATACTAACCACACTTTGTACAGGACTACACTGAATACCTGTATGTGCGATTCCTCTGATTCACAGAAGCTGTTCTAACTGGGCTCTGTTGAGAGGGAGCCATATTGCGTGTTGGGCTAGGCACATAGTCATTTGGTACCACCGGAGGACGTACCGGCTCCAACGTACGATAGGGGGAGTGACGCCTACACAAGGACAAGCATATTTCAGAAGCAAATTAAGATAATACAGACAAAACCAAAGATTTTTCATTCTTTAAACGATAGCTACATACTAATCACTACTGCGAGCTAAAAAAAAAGTTTTTCTCCAAGTTTGCAGTATCTGCTCCATAGGATGAGAAAAAACAATTAAGGATGTTCGTCACAAACTTCAATCTTCCTACTAATAAACTCTGTGTTGCACACCCTATTCTTGTTTTAAAAGCAATCCACATCTTGTTTTAAGATAAAGCACCACGGTCTGTATATATATATGTGTACATAATCACATATCAACAAACAGCATTCACCCCAGTTATAACACATTTTCCTAAGGTCAATGTCAAGTTTGTAGACTTAACAGAAAAGTACTTTTATCACACACAGCACAACTAATTAATGAACAGTGCCACATACTAATTTTCCAGGTGTTTAGCACCACCTGTCAAAGCCATACAGTTAATGACTTTTTACTCTAAATCATGTAGTTGTAAGTGTTCTGCAACAATAAAGAGGTTCCTGTTGGGAAAGGCTGATGATGCACACTGTCTTATGGCAGAAATGTGCTAACTGATATATAAGACATGATCAGCATAAGAGGATGCAGACATAACACCTCTTGACCTTTGTGAATGGTTAAAACAAAACCAAACCAAAACAAAACCCCTATACTACAGAAAAAGAAAGAATCTTCCCTTTCTTCCCTTTTGCTCACCAAAGTCATTTACACATTCAGTAACTGCACTTACCCAATAGTTCCTTTTCCTGACATTGGTGGACTTGGTGGCTTCTGGGTGGGTGGCGTTGTACGAGGCAGCCCACCCATCTTCATATTCTGTGTGCTGACCTGCACGAAAGAACGGGCAGAAAAACGGCCTTCACTAAGCTAAGCTTCTAGGGGGAGAGACACTGAGATGCCTTTAGCAGTTAACTCTTAAGTAGGGGAAGGTTTAAACAAACAAAAAAACTGAGAGGCCATGCATTTCATATGCAATTTCCACTCTGCTAGAAGTCAAGAGTTGCGCTCAAAGGACTCTTTATTACATAGGGTTTTTAAAAAAATTGTATATACAAAAAGTGAATTTGCCTTTAGGCTATCACATAAACATTAAATCACCGACAGCCTCCCAGTCATCTTGTGAGATAAAGGCAGTTTTATTTCAGCTTGCACTACTGAATGGTAAATTTGCAAAAATGGTTTTGAATACTCTTCAAAAATACTAAAGTTTATCTAATACGGCACAATTTAATGTAATTCATACAAATATGGAGAAGCCAAAGTAATCTCCAAATATGATCCACTAGTGTTTTAATGTTTTCATACTATGATATTAAAACTTTTAAAGATAATATTTATTGTAAATATTATTTATGTCTAGATAAACATAGAGAGAAAGTTATATAGATAAAAACACAAATATGTACTTTTTTCCCCCACCAAATCTATAGCAATTTAATCTCTGTAATATGATGTAATTGCAGTTGTCCTCTCTCCCTCTTTCAAGTTAAAATACTAGTGAAGTCACTTTTATGTAAAAGAATTTACTTTTAACTTCTTTAAGAAAACTCATCTGCATTCCTGACTGATTGATCAATCTAGGAACCATAAACAATTGTTACTAATGTAGGCATTCTGCTTATCTGTATACTGCCAGCCAAGCATAATTCTCTCAATGCATGTACCCTTACAGGAACCAGTACATGGTCTTCTTACAAGTCTCTGTTAAACAGTTTTGATTTATGAATGCTCCAACTATTGCTTAGACACAGAGATATTCAACAAACCTAAATAAGCATGCTTATGTCCTTTTTTCTGTCGTTCCTGTCATGCTCTATTTCACAGTGTTTCTTATTTCCAAAACGTAAGCCTTGCCTACTGCCCTCACCTCCCATATAAAAAAGAAACAGTGATCAAGACATTAAGAGTATTTGCAAACTTCATTAAAGGCAAATTACTCCTTTAAAATTTGATTAAAACAACTCACTTAAAACCCTGGCAATGTTTACATTTGTGAATTGATAAATATTGAGGACAGTGTAAAGAGTAATACATTCAAGTATTCTTATCCACTGAAATTTGATTCCCTGGCTTTAAATAATCCCAATGCTATCACATTTTCAATCTGCTGGGAGGAAAAGAAAACCAAGCGTTGGAAGGTGGGGATTTTTTTGTCAGATTCAAAAACAGATGTTTGGATTTAGTTGTGCAAGAGTACTTTGTAACGTCAATTTAAGACAAAGTTCTTTTGCACAGCATTATGAAGTCCTTTAAGCCAACTCTAAGCAACAAGAAATCTAAAGTTAATTCAAGTGAGGGATGAGGTAAGCACTGAACTACAACTACTTGAAGGGAAGAGGGAAAGTGTAAAATGAAGTATATTTTATTCTATACACGGAATGTTAAAATATAGCACAAAATCTGTTTGTTTTTTTTTTTCTTAAAGTTGCAGCATCCTCTGTATTTCCTATTTCATTAAAAGACACCTGTTTCACCCACCTACCTATTTGAGTTGTCCAAAAAAACCCAAATCCACAAACAAAAAACCCCACCTTAATTAAAGACTCGCTGCATTGTCACTTGCTATACTTCAGACAGCCCATTAAGCCTAGTGGGGCAGGGGTTTTGGATGTCTTTAGATGACAGCAAACTTGGACCAATCTGTCTGCCCCTGAATAGTCCATTTAGGTGTTTTAACTGGCTAAACTATTGTTTCTGACCAGAGGATGTAACCACTAGTTATCACTTTACAGTTAATACACAAATCCATATATTTAACCATAAAGAATCTTACTATTTGTATACAATCGTTGCAGGAACAAAACCAAAGTTTCAGGCTTCCACTGGGCTAGAGTTACATGAAAAGAAAGGACGGTAGAGGTGGGGGATGCAGTGACACCACACAGGATACAGTATAAAGTGGAAGTAATACTTGCCTGACTAATGCAGAACTCCAGTGACTGCTAGTTACTTTCATTAACATATCCTTGACATAGGATGGGAAGAAAGTTTTGGAAAATGTGGCCAAAGAAAAAGTGATCAAGAAACTTTAGTTGCTGTCCTTAAGAAAGACTAAACTGAAAGATGGGGAAATGCACTGACAGCAAGCTTACTTTCAGGCTCTTTGAAATGACTTTTCAACATTGAAATCAAAATGTTTACAGAGCAAGTAATTGAAGCTTACAGGGCTGTCTTCAAATCTGACAGGACTGATGACTTTAAGATCAGCTACAGTTAAGTTAAACAACCCTATTTGAGTAACTTCCCCTTTGACTTACGGCCAAATAATCACAGAAGAGAAATGAATAATATAAAATTATTCCAACGGTTCTGATCAGAACAGACAGATCTGTGTAAATGACATCATGGAAGACCCTAAAAAAGGTTACAGACTGCCTTGAGGAAAGAAAAAAAAAATTTAAGACTATACAAGTTGCAACTTCAGTTGAGATACAAACATTGTAACATTTCCAACTGTGCCCTTCTATGATGACTTGTACTAGGAGAGGGGAAAGAAAAAAAAAAAAAGGAAAGCCATTAATGCCTCCCCCTTGCAAAACTTTGCTCTATTGCCTTTTCTATTTTGCACATATGGTTGTAAAGATAGTTTCCATACACAAATTCTCATCTACACACATCCCTTTTTACAACCTTCTAAAATCCAAAGCAATCACCAGAACTCAAGGTCACATTTGCATTTTCTGTCGTTTCAAAAATCTGTTTTCCGGAGTAAGCTGAAATTTGCCAGAAGTTGCAATGTTTCTGACGACATTTCCCCTAGCTCCGCACAGCTGGAACTATCCAGATGCAACTGGTTTAATGAGAGGGTGAAAGCAGAGGAATGGATCTGTCTGTTGGTGGTTGGTTTGACTGCAGGCTGCAGGCCCCCCCAGATCTGTGGTTGGTTTGTAGTTAAGAGCTTGCAAATTCTTTTAGGAAACTGTGTGGCAAAACAGAGCCTGCAACCGGACACACAAAGGAGTATCTCTGCCTTTGCCCACAACTGCCAAAACAGCTAAGCACTCTGCTAAAAAAAAAGAAAAAACTAAGAGAGGCGGTAATGATTTGGTCACAAAGCTCAGGAAAAAAAATACAAACAACCAACCCCAAACAGCTGACTCTTCTAAAAGCAGGAAGACAACCCCGTGAACAGACAAGTGGTGCACAGGGTCTCTGCAGAATGCATGCAGGGATTTTTCCAATTCTTTTTTTGTCTCTTCCCATAGAAGTAAAAAAAGTAGAAAATATTACCAACTGAAATTACATGGAGGAACACCAAATAATTCTAGGGAGATCTTGGATAAGCTTTTTTTTACTGGATACCTTTGCAGCAGCTTTTTATACATGAACTAGCAAGCACCTGCACTACAGAAGAAAATGTCTTCTACCAAAGCTGTAACTGTCAGCACTGGAGCTGGAATTTGAAGTTTTGCTGAGAGAGAAACTGTATAAACAACTTAAAATAAGCAGGTCCTTGGTAAGCAATACATCCTGGAGGATGCTCTGAGATCTAGCTCCACAGTAACAGCAATAAAATGAACTATAAAGACATAGCCCACTATGGAGCATTCTGTTTAAAAAAGGCGCAATAGCATTTCATCCAATATTTTCTATATTGAGCTACAGTGTCAGTTTTAGAAAGGTAAGATCTGATGACCTCAAGACATGATACAGGACTGACTAGAGCTCTTAGAAAACGATCATTTTAAGTTTATTTTTTTTAATAATTAAGACTTATTTGTCCAATTTCTATTTTTGGCAACTAGTTTTTCATAGATCCCAGTGATTCACAATCACCTTTTTATGGTCCTACAGATGACCGAGTTTCCTTCATAGTTACATTTTTATAAACATTTAACAAATTGAGCTTCTTTAGCACTCTACTGGTTACAACTGAGAAATCTTGCCATTTATTCAATTCTTGGGAATGTTTTCATGAGCAAAAAAATTCAACGAACAGGAAGTGCAGAAATATACAGTTGGTCAGATACAAGAGCTGGTCATCAGACATGCAAAAGCATTTGCACCAAGGCACTGGGTATTTATGCAGTTGTAAGGCATTTATCTGCAACAAAGATTCTAATCCACTTTTTTACTCTTCTGAAGAACAACTCATCATCAGTTCAATTACCAAAACAAAGTGGGGTTTTTTTCCAAAAATCCTGAATACTAGATATTCCACACAATCAAACCTTGGGAGGAGCTACTTTCTAAAGACAAAGTTAGACTCAGCCCAGAAATTTTTAAGTGGTGCTTTATGGTCACACCAGATTTTCCAGAATTTTCAGGATGTCAAATGAATCATCTTTTGCCCAAAATCTAATAAGAAAAAGTGTCCCATCAGTGATGTTCCATGGATTATAATCAGAAACTTCAGGTAGCTACCCAACCTTCTTGAGCAATTTTATACCTGACTCTAGCAAAAACAACCTAGGGCTGAATGAACACTACCTTCCCATGCCTTGCTTCATCTTGTTAATGCTACAGAGAGGATGAGCAGATTTTTGGCCCATCATCTGCTACCTCTAAGTACATTCCTTTTCAGGCTGTGCTCAAATACTTAATCTGCTTGTCTAATTGAACCATATGTTTGTCAGCTGATAAACAGTTGATATGGAAGTGAAATGTCTAAATTTCAACCCTGTCTTGGCAAATGACCACAAGTAGAAGCTTCAGCAAGTGAGTTTACTTGTTTGTACCAGGTCCACCTATGCAAAGTAATTGAAGAACTAAGTTTGGTAAATACAAAAAGGCTTAAACAATGTCATTTTCAATTGATTTGCTGACAGGAGATGCTACAGATACTCCTCTGAGTTGTAACTGGAATTTTCCTCAAAATCTATTTAAAT